TAATAATAATTTACAATTTTACTTTTATTATGTTCTATGATAAGTAATTATTATTTAATCCAAATGGAATCTGATTGTAAGTACTATTAATATCTAATTACTTGTACTGACTTAGCATATATCCAGAAAAGTACTACCACCGTAGCTACGAATATGATGAACGTTATTAGCATGATGCCTTTTCCCTCGCGTATATCCCTTTCAAATGACTGGCTCCGATGGGTACTTCATCGGCTTTATAAACGATGACGCGTACTTCATAAGTCTATCTAGATAACGGAAAGTATTGAAGAAGGAGTAAAATAAAGTAGTCGGTAAAGATATGTGAAGTACCTAGAAATTGCCGTCGTGTTCTTTACCTTATCACTTTTTACCAGGTTCGATAATCTCGATAAGCATCAAAATAACAACGTCATAGTTAATCTCGCTATTGCGGGGTTACCGATTTATTTCTAGAGATCGCACAATACATATATTTCGTAAGTTATTACAGATAAATGACGCGCAGATTTTGATAATAGTGGGACTTTTTATCGTTTTTGTACGCATTATCAGCTTTGGTACGCGTCATTGACGCAGTTTTGGGAGTAGTTTATATTTGTTTTCAAGATTCTTCTGTGAAACGTTTTTGACCTGTTTACGGATACTCAGTATTATCTCAGTTACCCAATTCGGTTATTAAAATGTTATAACATAAATTGATCTCTTTTAATATAAAAAAAACTATATCGAACGTCAACGTGTTTCACTTACATGGAATATTCTTGCATTGAAATAGCCCTTTTTCCATCGTTATTACGAGATATTATGAAAGATCCAGGAATTATTAGAAATATATGTATAACACTACTTTAGATCTTAATCTTTGTGACACTCCTTTAGATCGTAATCTTTGGCAGCTTAAATGTACCAAAAATGTTTCACGATTATTTAAAAAAATAACGACAAATTATCTTTACGCAGAATGAGCAGTGATAAGAAGGAAATCATGCAATACGTTGCAGTACATTGTTTTGATTTCTCACGTACCGGGGTGTACGCAATAACTTCATTCAACGAAACGGATGAAGCATTGATAGCAAATAGACGCAACAATACTTCGTGGTAATTTCACTGAATTTTTCCTTATTTACAGCACGTACGTATGCTTACTCATTTAGGGCAATTCCATGATTTTTTACTGCACAGTTGGAAAAATTGTGTTTTTTGTTAAAAAAATGCCGGTTAAAATTTTGGTGTTAAATGTTTAACATATTCATATGTTAATTTAACATATTGCTCTTGTGTTAATTGACCTCAAATGTAAAATTATTAAAATTCGTTTGCACATGCAGCTTTAATTCTTATCTTGTCAGATCATCATAACATCTTACTCAGCGTATAACGTCTTGTAGGATTCTTAGTGCAAGCGAAAGCAATCATCTTTTCGATCTCTATTTTAAAGAAACTAACTACATAATTATTTTCACATGAATAATACCACCTTAACGTATAGGCATACTTCGGGGATATCGTGATTCCGGTTGCAGATCACCGGGATAATAAAGCGAATCGCACGAAATTTTCGGTTTTCTAGTGCATGTAAAAGATATGTTTGCACTATATTGTAGTCTGCTTCAGTCGGTGTCATTGGATTGTCGAGCTGTTTGAAGTCAGATAGGTACCAGGCATTAGGGGGTCTACTCATCATTGGATTTGCAACGGGCGGTTTCGCGGTGGACGTTCGAATATTCCGCACGGACCTTATGACTTCGTATATCTGACTCCTTTTCGTTGTAAAGGAGCTGTTGCTGTTTCGATTATATAATTGTAACATTTCCGTCGATCCGCTTCTCTGATCTTGTTGCTGAGAAACAAAGATAATATCACACGTCCATACTTCGTACTCTTTTTATTTCAACGGATAAACAAAAAATGTTCAGAATAAGATTAACCAGAGGTAACAATCCTTGTCAAGGAATTTACGAGTGTATGTAATATTTTAGTGCCGTCGATGCCAGAATTACATACCTCGGAGTTCGGAAGCTTTTCGTCCCCGCTATCTTGTGTCTGCGAGTTCGGAGGGACTGTTTGGAGATTATATTTATCCTTCACCTTAACCATCACAGACTCGTATCGGCTCTTGCACTCACTGGGCGATGTGTATAAAAGCGCGCAATAGTTGATAATATCGGCAACCATGTCCCAATTCGGTGTGTGGCCGGAAAAGAGAGTCATCGTGTCCAGAAGTAAGTTCTGGTAATTATGGATGGAATCCCTGTTGAAAATACCCGATTAAAACCAATTGAAAATTTTGAATCCGCATGAATCTGGATTCTTGATGCGGAATATACCGATTGACGCGGATAGGGTCAGATTTGAATCGTGTTCAATCAGGAATTTCCAGATAGATTTTGATTCGCGTCTATCGGTTTCAACCCGTGATAAAAGTTCGCCGATTGGAACCGATTGGCGCGGATTCAAGTCAATCCGAAAAAGTTGTACTTATTAAAAACAATAGACAATTCAGATTTAAATTCGCCGATTGGAACCGATTGACGCGGATTCAAGTCAATCCGGAAAAGTTGTATTAATAACGATTGACAGACTTCATCAGAAAATCCGATAGAAACAGATTGTTACTGCTTCTATCTGGAAATACCGGATTGAATCAGATTACGGATTGAATCCGATTGATCTTGCATTTCCACCAATCCGGTGCCCGATTGGCCCGATTGATATCGAATTGAAACCGATTAATTTTTATAGAAATCAATGCCATATCTGTCGGTTTGAATCGGGTATTTTCAGCAGGGATGCAACACACCCAAATCCTCGTGGTCCGTGGCTTGATCGTTCGACACCATATGCACTATTGTGCGAGTCTTGCTCAGATTCATGTCGCGGCATATCTGACTTCTGATTAAAAAGCGATTTTGGCACGTGGATGGATTCCTCTTCTTTGTTGGGCATCGTCTTCACCGGTCGATATCTTGCGACGAAAGTAACATTAAGCTAATAAGAAAGAAGATAAACAGAAGTGGGGACACGATGGTGAACGTTTGGTCGTTAGTACAACTGAAGTTTTAATAATATAAACTAATTCGCTTGCCAAGGAATACGGTATTTTTCATACCGTAGAGTGGGGCAACATGGAACAAGGGGGCAAGTTGGAACAAAACTTCCAATTTCATATTTATGCATTAAAACCGGCAACGTCTGCAAGAAAGCATTCGAGTTCAACGCTAGTTTTGGTTTAGCCCATATGTACGCTCAATTCTTGCAGACGTTGCCGGTTTTAATGCATAAATATGAAATTGGAAGTTTTGTTCCAACTTGTCCCCTTGTTCCATATTACCCCACTCTACGGTATTTTCCAGATAACACCAACTAATAGTTGTACAACATCAATAATAAACTTTCCTATTCAATAATCCAGTTATGTACAATATGTATTATATTCATAATGTTGAGTGAAGTTATAATATTAATGTCATATAACTGTTAGTTTAGTAAGCGGTTGCAGCAGTGAATCTAAATAGCAAGAGATTACGAGGTAAGGATTTACTTTTTAAATGCTTCGTGAATTAATGTAGTCTGTTCAAAGGGAATTCAAAAGAATTTATGTCCGAAAAAGACCTCAGAATTAGTGACATAAAAGCGAGTTCTTTTTGAACTCGGAAAAATATTTTTAGAACAGAAACGGAGTGCAAAACAAATTTATTTTATAATTAGCGAATTCAAAAGGATTGTTTTCTTCGCTGTTCTATCTGAACGCATATTTATCGAAAAGATTAATGTGCAACACTTCGTCCATAAAAAGAAATGGGAGAGCAAAATGAACTCCAATAAAATTATTTCTAATCAATTTTTCACCACAACAACGTTTTAAAATGCGCTACAGCGTATGAAATCACACATTTGACACTTAATAAGATTACATGGTTCAATTAATGGTGAGATTTGTAATTTTGTTCAAAAAGAAAATAAATCCTCGTCGGTTGTTTCGTCGCTTTATGAGATTTATTTTAGCACTTATAATACACAAATTATACATACATATATACATATATATCGTACATACGTACATACAGAGGGTGGTGCCGCAGAAAACAAGAAAAATGTATTATTAAATAAAACGATACATTTCTCACGTATTCAAAATCGTTCTATAAATTTGTTTGACATACGTAAGACGTTCTCTTAATAGACACCAAGCGTACAGAGTGAGCGTTCGAACGAGAACACTCGATCGTATCCAACGTTTATATGGGAGAAAAAAAATCATTTCTTTCCTCTTTCGCATCGCTACGCTTACTTGATCGAACAGCGTAACACTGAAGAGTGTGTAGATGTTCGGCATTCAAACGGCTCGTCTTGTACATTAACGGAATAGAAATCCTGTATTGTATCGCATGTGATATTATAACCAGCCTAATACAAACGCCGCGTTCTCGGAGTAATTTTACTACACTCTATGGTCAACCATAAATACAGAGCTGCATACGGAGATGCAATTCCATAACTCTTTAAAAGATGTCTAAATGACCACACTTAATTATCTTTCCATGCCTCGTTCAGATGTCGAAGAAGCAACCTATATTCTTCTATCTTTTCTTCAACCTCAGAGATTTGTTATACACTTACAAATCTTGGTGGTCTCGTAGACATTCTTCAAATGTCCAGAGAACATTTTTCAAACATTTAAAAAAACATCTTGCTGCTTTGATCGTTACCTAGGTGTCTCGGGATTTTCGTACGCGGAATGCATGGAGATTCGGTGTCAAAATAAGTAAAATTTTCCTTCGGCAAAATGTACGCACATTCGAGCAGGATTTTTAAATAAAGACATTTAAATCTAACGAATAAAGCTACAAGTTATACACGGCTTCTTCGTTGAATGTGTATGCTGTTTTACCACCTCTTAGAAAATTTCATTCCGCACGAACCGCCTGTATGAAAAACGTTTTAAACTTCTTGCAGACGTGAAAGCGGTATCCTAATTTGTTAGTTTTTCCCAGGCAGTCTTTTAGACATCTTCTGAACATTTACATTACTTGGAGTAACTCTTCGTGTTTTGTAATTTCGTCGACGAGTTAAGCGTATTTCTTGAGGCTAACAGTCCGTTTCCTTTCTTCATAAAAAAAAGAAAAAGAAAACAAAAGAAAACGGAAGACTACATCTGTACAGTGCGCCAAGCATCGTATTGGGATATACCCTCGCAAAAAATACCGTAACGGGTTCTAACATTTAACATCGTAACATTTATATTTAATGCAGAGAGAATCGCATCCTAATCCGACAGCCTGGAACATTTACGAACGAAAAGCAAATATATACTAATGAATTCAATAATCCTATTGTATGAATGACATAAGTAATCACATTACATTTAACTTCTTACGGATAAACAGCAATTGACTAAAAATTTCCATTCGTAAAAACAAACTCTACATAAAGTTAGAAATCAATCCACAGAGAATTTCTTCCTATATAAGTTAGGATTATTTAAATGTTCAGTCGTGAATACAACTTTCGCCCAGAATTCAAAATCTCTCTTTAAAAATTGTACATCGCATTTGATAATTTTTAAAGAAAAACGAAAATCTAATATTATCATTGCAACATAAATTTAATTGAATTTAATTTGATTGCTACGAACAGCTTTTAACCAATATGTTCTACATTGTTGCATTACAGTAACTTAATGTTTTCAAATAAACAATCCTTTTTAAAGATTATTTTTTCTTCAATTTTCTTATACTTTCCGTTGAAGACTAGTATTCGTTTTGTCATTGCTTCGATATAATGTAAGAATTTATAACTGTGAAAATATAACTTAATTCTTTGTATAGGTAAAAAATAGCGGTATCAGCATGTTGAATAAATCGATTCGGTCATTTGTTATAAATAAACACCATTTGTCGCTTCATGTTACTCGAATCATACCATCAAAATTATGGCTACTCGCAGCACAGTTTGGAATGCTTTAATATGTTTACGCTATTTATTGTGTCAAATTTTACTTTTATTTACTAGAATTATATGATATTAAAAGAGAAAAACTGAAATTCGTATGTTTACGATGTCAAATTGAAACTGAATCAGGAAAACTAGAAACTGAGATAACTAAATATTTATTTATAAAAAATTTTTTTTTCTCGCAATAAGAACTTTATTAGCAGATTTTTCATTACTAAGAAATTAATATCTTTTTGCTTGCTAACAATTAATTCAAATATTTTATTTTTGGTGAATTAACATTTTGTACTTGATGATCGATCCAAGATATTTGAATTGATATCTCCTTTTTTATCGCTACAATTAATCGAAAATACTCAAACCAATATATTACTTTACATCAAGACTCGTTATTATTAATAATCATATATTTCGATTGATATTTAGCACTTGTTTCGACGCATGTTCTAAAAGAAAAGATATTCTAAATGGATTAACCCTTTACATTGTAATATCTATGGACATACATGAATACCTGAACGGAACGTAAGGTACTCTCTTCAACAAAGGGAGTAAGTCTGAGAAATGAGAAAAAAAATTCATTACGGTCGTCTCGATTTATCAGATGTAGTATGTATGTATATATACATATATACATATGCTTATATGTATGTCTGAATGTCTGGTACTTGTGCAATCTCTCATGGGTAGATAGAGCTCCTGAAACTGAAAAGCGAAATCCTTTACCGTTTTACGATTACGGGACAATAAATAAAAAATGAATAAAAATCTACGAATCAGTGTACGTCCGCGCTGTTCGGAGAAGAGATAGCCAATTGTTTACGCGTCTCTCGTGCATAACCATTGTTATTTACTGAGCGCTCTTTCCTCAGTGCGTCGCAGCGTGCGTAAATGCGTAAATGCTGAGTTATCTCTTGTCGCTGAATCACGCGGGTGTCCACTGCCTCACAGATCTTTATTAATTTCTCATTAGTTATTAAGAAATTCGTAAAACGGTAAATAACTTTTCTATTCAGATACAATTAGTTATAATATGCTACTTTTCGGTCAAAGGTTGGTTCTTTGTAACTTAATAATTGTTCTATAAATTTTGTATACTTTTTCTAAACCCAGTAAACTGAACACAGATTTTCTATTCAGTTTAACCCGCTGTACCTGCGTACGAGAAGTAACATGCTAATTACCAGTTATCTTTTTTTTATCATTTGCATGTATTATTATACGATTATATAAACTCAGATCTATTTTCACATCTCGTCGCATTTTGACTAAAGCATCTTTTTTAATGAGGATATTTAACGTCAATTTGGTATTTTTTCAAGTTTTTGTTACACATACAATTCTACTTGCAATTGTTCCGTAATTAATTTTATTTTTCAATAGCTACTATTATACTATTTTGTCGATTTCTCTTAGAAAGAAGAATCTAGTTCACGATACAGTCTGCCTCTAATTTCATCAAATTTAACGCATCTAAATACAATATGGTGTATGTTTTGAAACTCCGCCTCGTAATTGAGGCATTACTGCGATTTGAGATTATTCCGCAATGAAAAATACTGTCTCGAATAAAGTAGAAATTTTACTCTGTAATATACCGGATTGTTACGCGAAAAATTGAAGACAAAAGAATTTAAAAACATTGAAAGAATAAAATTCTATTAACATGGGAACGAGACGACTACATTCCATGTGATTTCGCTATCTTGTTTGGTTGATCGTATCAGTTACAATCATTGAACTCTAATATAACTGGGACGCGTATACTATGTTTGTAAATGGAAAATGATACGAGAACTTGATAATAAAGAGCCATTTATCTGTTTATACATTATGAGCATATCACGAGACACGGTAGTGTAAGCAAAAACAATTTGGATGATGATGACTCAGCTACACTCATATTCAAAAGTAAAACTCGAGAGCTTGTAGCAGTATTTTCTTATGTCAACGCTCTAAGACGTTTTATTCTAACTGCACTTAAAGAAAAATGGCCCCTTCGATTTTCTGACTAGCAAATCAGATGGCAATTTCTAGTCGGATTCAATCTAGGATCTTCGGCCAACTAGAGCAGCGCTTAACTCTCTGCGCCACAATAGCTACTGAAGAAAAAGAAATCAGATGGGGGTGGCTGGTGCACGTTCCAATTGTATTAGAATTTAGTGATTACAATAGACTTTCTACCTCCTTTCCCCTCAAACTTCAATTCTACGAGAATATCCCGTCCAGATATTTGTACGTCCATAATAATATCTGTAAAACTTTTAGAAGATTTTTTGCTTTTTAATCCGCAAGACCAATCTGGTTTCTGAATTTTCCAATAAAATATCAACAATCGCCACCCAATTATGATAAAAACCTATTTTGGTTGGGCATCCTGATGAGTCTGTTGTTGCTGTTGTTGCTGTTGTTGCACTTGTTGCGCCAAGGTTTGCAATCTCACTTGATTAAGGACAGATGGGGAGGTTAGATTCGAGGCAGACGCGGAGGTTGCACCCACACCAGGACTGATAGCACCCGCTGCAGCAGTGGAACTGGCAGTTGTGGTACTTGGGCTTGAGCCTGAGCCAGGGTTAGGCCCCGAACTAGGACTTTGTCTCATTGTACCAGCAACCGGTTTCCCTTGGATAGGCGTGGTCTGTCGTAACTGAGGATTGCTGGCGGTTACCACTTGAATGGTTTGCTTCAAGGCTGTGGGCGCTACTGGTATCACACGAGTTTGCAACGGCGATTTAGCTAGTACGACTTGGCTAGCCTGAGACACCGGTTGTCCCGTGGAGACCTGCAATAACAAATAATTAAAATAATATCGTTCAATAAGCTGTACAGTTAAACGTTTATCAGTAGCGTATTCATTAACTTGGTTCAGTTGTCTTTCTCGTGGATGATATCCAGATCTTTCATGAAATATAATTTTAGCTTCAAAGTATTTTATAATTTAAAAAAATTTTTTATGATTGCATTACAAAGTCTGCGAATATTTCTACAATATATGCTTGAGGAATGAAAATAATTTAGTATTAACTTTTTTTATGTAACGACCGAAACAATTCGCGAAACGTAAAAAAAAAGAGAATCTTTCGCTATTTTACGCACATGAGTAAATTGCTGCATCGTCGAAGGTACGTGTTTCATCACTTGTTGAATTTGCTGCACCGTCATGGTTGTAGGTAGCGACTTTGTAGGTTGTACAATGAGCTGCGTTTGCACGCCAGCCTTGTTTGCGACCTGAGTTAGCTGCGCGACCTTCTGCGCCGGTAGTTTCCTTTGCGTGAGGAGTTGAGAATGAAGCGTGAGCTGACGAATCTGCTGCGACGTCGTAGCGCGGGGACCCGCCACGTTAGCTGTCTTCACGAGCGTTGCTACTGAAGTACCACCGGCCGAAGTACCTGCCTGTTGCATTTGCAAACCAGCCTGAGCAAAGAGTTGTGCTGGTGTAAGTGGCGTTGACGCGGATACCTATAGAGACGCAACCACCTCTCATTTCTCTTGCGATATAAAATTGCGTCCTATTTTTCTCTTTTTACATATATAATGAGTGATATCAACTTGGAGGAAGGAGAAAAGGCGGAATGAGGAAGGCAAAGACGGTACACACGAAAATAACCGAGGATCACATTACAGAATCGGAAAACGGCGTCTTGGCAAGGAAAGCTGATGCCGTGGCCGACGAGAGGGAAGTAGAAGAGTAGGAACAAGTACAAAGAGGCAAATGGAGGCAAATAGAGAAAGGAATAAAAAGAGGGCAAGGAAAACGGAGAAGGATGGAGAAGTAGAATAAGAACGGAACTAGGATAAGTTAAAAAGAATAGAAGAGTAGGTTTATATTAGAGTAGGCAGCGAAGCAGGCATGGAGGGATGAATGAGAGCGAGTATGTGATAAGGACAAAATTGTAAACCAAGTCCTACTCCTTGGCATATAAGCTGAAGTGTAATAAAAATTGATTGATTGATTGAATGGTATCGCTTAATCATTTTAGATGTCGATATCTATTTCTAATGTTCTCTTTAATTTCGGCTTTCTAAAAAAAATAATAATAAAAATAAAACAATCTTTGGCTTCCTCGTCAAAAAACTTACCTGCACCTGTGCGACCGCCGCGGCAGCAGCCTTTGCTTGCTGCTGTAACGCTTGCCGCTTCAGCAACGCAGCCATTTCAGTGTCTGACATTGTCCTGGTCATTGTCGGTTTGCCCACAGCAGTTTGTCCAGACACCGCACCCGCAGTGCCTACGGTAGCGATACCTTGCTTCATCAAGGTGGTCGCTGCAGCACGCTGTTGTGCCGCCGCTGCCGCTGCTGTGGCCGACACCGCGACAGACATCTTTTGACCACTGTTAGCCTGAGCCTGGAGCACTTTAAACTGTTGTTGCCGTAGTAACACCTGCTGGTGCCTATAGTATTGCATCTGTGCCGTCGTTGTAGTCTTACTTCCCGACGCCGCGGTGGCCATCGTGACGCCTACCAGGCTTCCTTTTTGACCACCCGTCGCGCCGACGGAAGTTTGGCCCGCGGATACCAAACTGGCCGTCGCGATTCGTTGAGCGGTCTGCTGTATGTTCGCGTTTGCCGACGTTGTCCTCACGTCCTGCATGGCCACTTGCCCACCTCCAGGTCGAGCCTTGACCACTGTAGTAGCTGTTACTGGTGTAGTCGCTACGTTGCTTACGCTAGTCGCAGCAACCTTCGTGTTAGTCGCTGTTGGAACCGCTTGCGTCAACTGATGAATTTGAGATGTAACCAAGTTTGCGACCGCCTGCTGTCCAGCTTGCTGTTGCGTTTGTTGCTGCTGTAGCTTGAGCTGTTGCTGTTGGGCGGCTTGTTGCTGCTGCAAGAGGCGTGTCGCTACCTGTTGCTGTTCAGGGGTTAAAACCTACGATCATATATCTCCGTGAACGAATTTCTTCGAACGTATTAATACAAATACTAATAACAATTAATAATAATAAATTTAAAGCAACAAATAAAACCGATTGTATTGGTTCTATGATTTGAATGTGAATGTTATATTCGAATTATTGGGTTGGGAATAAGTTTCCGCCCTTTTAAAATGTTAATTCGTCGCTTGTTTACACACAAAAATGTAAGCGACAACTTTCTCTCATCTTTCAGGTAGTAAACGGATTCCTCGAAGAAAAAAATCAGGTTCTTTCGACTCGACCAATTTCCAACGCATGTTAATGTTTTCTGACAGTAGATCTAGCAACATTTAATTCGTTTGATAAATCTTCGAGCCTTCGACTCGGATCTTCTTCGAGTAAATCTCGCAGTTGTGCATCTTTGAATTTTTTAGGTGTCCCTTCGCGTCACTCACGTCGTAATCATCACTTTGAAATCGCCGAAACCACTCTTTACACGTACTACTCGACGGAGCATGATCCGCCGTAAATATCAACTAGCATTCGATGCGTTTCAGCAGCATTTTTCTTCTGAATATAATGATGTGTGTGTTTGGGTGTGTGTGTGTGTGTGTGTGTGCGCGTGCGCGCGTGCGTGTGGAGTAACACTTTCCGCAAATGCTGCTTCGTTGGGGTAAATGTTGCCAAAACACAAGTATAACCGTTCCGTCAAAAAAGATGAAAAAGGCGGAACTTATTCCCATACCCAATAAATTATGATTATTTAATTACACTGAAATCAAATATAATCAAATATAATTTTCTTCTATTAAATTAAATGTATTAAATATAATTGTCTTGCACTAACTCCTTTATTCATCTTCTCCTTGACGATTCTGTCAGCACGTCGCATAGCAATTTCAATCGGTGTCATTGGATTGTCGAGCTGTACACTGTATTCAGATAAGGGCGGCGTATTAGGAGTCTTCAACATTGGATTCGAAATGGGCGGCTTCGAGGTGGGCGTTCGATTGTTGGACACGGACTTCATAATTTCGTATCTCTGATTGCCATTCAACGTAAAGGAGTTGTTTCTATCCTGATTGTGTAATTGCGATGTTCTCATCGTCCTGCTACTCTTACTTTGCTGAGAAAAGTAAAACAAAGATAATATCACACATCTGTATTCGGGATTTACTCGATACTTTTTGTAGTTTATTACAACAGATAAAGAAGAAATATTGAGAACAAAATTAGAGTAGAGAGCTACTGCAGATAATTTTTTGCAAGAAATTAAGTGTGTGCAATATTTTAACGCTCGTCGATACCAGAACTACATACCTCGGAGCTCGGCAGCGATTTGTAAACACTCCCCTTCTGTTTCTTCTGCTTCTTCGGCGCGGAGTCGTACAGGAGCTTACCCTCTTCCCTAGGCAATATTATAGACTCGTATCTGGTTTTGCACTGCTTGGGCGATCTGTATAAACGCGTGCCATTGTTGATGGTATCGGCAACCATATCCCAATTGGGCGTGTGGCCGGGCAAGAGGACAAACGTGTTTATCGGTAAACTCTGGTAATTCTGAATGGAATGCAATAGACCCCAATCCTCCTGGGCCAACCAGTCCATGGCTTGATCTGGTTCCGGCAAGGCCTTCATGACGTGCGACGAGGTTTTCAAAACTGGTATCGGTGGACGCGCGATCACGCGATACTTGTATAGCTTCATGTCGCGGCGCATCTTCATCATTGCCGGTGTCGGCCGATCGAAGAGTGATCTCGGAGCGTACACGGACTCCTCTTTGTGCCGCATCATCTTCGCCGGTCGACAACCTGCGGCAAAAGCAACATTGGGTTAATCGAGCGAAAGAAGACGTATAAACACAAGTGAAGAAAAGTTGTTAACGTTCGGTCGTTATTACAATTGAAGCTTTTGATAATATAAACTATACAATATTGCCAAAAGCATTCATTTCCTTCATATTTATTGAAATGACAATCGTCACTCCGTTTGTATGACAAGTTATAGGACAGCAACTTTGACTTGGTTGTCTTCGAAAAAACAAATATCAAATACCATTCATGTATTAAAAAAAAGATCTACAAATAGACTAACCATCCTCAGTGATACCGATTTCGATTCTACTCCTCGTTCGCTCCTTCTTTACGTAAATCGGTGGCAGCTGAGCCTCTGTCATAGGGTCAGTTCCGTACAGAAAACCGAGAGAAAAATCGATATACACGTCATCATCCGTTGTAGGAGGAGTCGGCGGGCACCACATCTGGAAGAAGATTCAATTAATCATATTCTTCAAAGGACAAACTCAACAATTCAATTCTTTATTGCATCCTATGGTCAATTGAGAGAATTGCAGTTCTATTTTCTTCCCAAAAGTATCGACAATACATAACTATACTTTTTCAATCTTAAATATATGTATATGTTGTATCTATTTGACACTTTTATAACGAATAACTGACCTCATATCTGTCACAAAATCATATAAAATTATTTAGTTTCTTATGGTACAAATAAAGCAAAGATTAATAGAATGTATTAATTATTATAATTTATAGAATATAATTAATGATAAACAATTGAGACACAGTGCACACTTTTCTTAACTTTTTGTTATGCAGTAAAGGAGAAATAAGAATCGTATTATTTTTCGTACTTACTGGCATTTGCTCCATCGTGTGTTCCGACAACCAAATCTGCAAGATGTTAAAGTTATACATGAGATATTGTGCGACTCACGAGAGAATGCTCGTTCTCATGTGAAGTCCGTCTCTGTACTCGTTAAATTGCGATGTGCTATCACGTTTTTACACTCGTAACTCTCTTGCGATCAACAGATCTGCTTAAAAATTGTATCTTTAAATCATGAAAAATCAAGATTAAAGAAACTGAATTTTCAGTAATTAATGTCGATACGTCGATACGTCTGCTTATATATAACGAAAATATAAGAATAAATAATTTCGAGACTACAGAAAGACGGACCCGGTGAATAAGCTTTCAATAAATAATGAAAATAAAGAAAGAGAGAAAAGAGAGCGATATTAATCTCCTCTGTACTTTCGTTCATTTCTAATGAGACTCGAGAAATGTATAAATTTTAAATTCAACAAACTTTCCATTATAATGTCGAGACATGAAATTTTGCGTTATTCGATTATATTATAATAGATTTTGAAATCCGTAAATTCTATCGAAATAAATTCAAATATATCTGCTCGAATTAATCTTATTTTCTGTGAGTCTTAAGAGTTTTAATCTCCAGGATATATTTGATGTCAAATCTTTCTCCGAAATTTTTCTCAAGAGAACTTAAAATTTTTGTCAAAAGATTTATATAAAATAAAGGATGGGGCAGCCTGAAGGCGCTCAAAGGTTCTCGTTCCTCTCATTCTAAATATCCTGAAAAAGCGTTCTTCACGATATATTCCTTTACCTCTATCACTGTGTCATTTCCTTTCATGTATGCCATGTACATATACGGAATCTGATACACGTAGAAATGCCACAGATAGATGCAGTAACGTATCTCACTCATGTGCCTGCTCATATCTTGTTGCGGACTCCAAGTTTGGAATGGCAAAGGCAGTGTTTTGGTGCCATTTTAATGGAACAATTTTATTGGAGCTCTTTCTCTCTCTTTTCTCTTTACGCATACTAACGTACATGTATCTTCTCGAAAAATGTGCGGTCATGATAGCCTTGCCACACCAAACCGACATCGAAAGAAAAAAAAGTCGTTCTTCGCGTTTAAATATAAACAAGCACACTGAGCTGAGAATGATTTGACACCAAAACGGAACTGAACCTTTGATCGACACAGACTTGGAAACGCATCAAGAAATAAGGGTACACATTTGGATATAGCAAGGAATATTTCGTTTATTTTTTTTTTCTTCGAACTCTCGCTCGATCATACAAAATACAGGCACGCAACTTAATTATTACTGTGTGTATGTGTACGTATGTACGTGTGTGTGTATGTGTACATGTGTATGTGGCGGGAGGAGGCAAGTGAAAAGGGCGAAGGGAGGACATCCTTATATGCATACAATAATATATAAGATATACTATATATACATATATATATAACTATAATATGTATATATAATATAATAATCGAGTCATTGTTCTGCGAATTACGTAGCTCAAGGCGGCACGATTGAAACCTTTTCATTCTGGCTGCCTCGATACTTTCTCGAGTACCAAATAACTCACCAGCCAATTATTTTAAATAAATTATTATATAGCAAACCTTTTCCAGACTGAAGTAAAGTTCCGACTGAATTACTGAAATAACTGAAAATAGAATGGGATCGAACTATGCGCTTCGTCCTACGCTCTCTATATTAATTTTATCACGTTCCTCTTGCTCGTTACGCCTGTCGATATATATGTATATGAATAGTTTAGTGTGGCGCACTAGAGAATCGCTTGACCGAAATCAGCTCCTCATTTCTAATATAATACACTCGTTCATTTCGCTCGTCACGCCGTTTATATAAATCGCTAGGCATACGTGACTGGGGATCCGTTCCTTGCTGTCTGCACCTGCCTTCCTGTGCATTTTAAATTTAATCGAACGCACATTCGCAGGGAAAATAAGGGAACAAGGTAGGTTTAGGATTCGCGGAAAGTGCAGCCAGAGAAGAAACGGATCCACTTGATATCTTTACAACGAATAATGTAAAATGAGATGAGGGGGCAGCGAGCCAGAGTACAATTTACAACGCTACAAATATTACACGTGTATTATCCGGTATAACCCGGAGGAAATACATTGTTTAGCGTAATTATATCGTGATTATGTACAAGACGATGCGTACTCGTGTCTGACATTAATGCTGAACGTGTCTATTCGATTCTGTCTTATTTTTCCTCGTACGGAGGGGCATTTCTCCTTTTCTAGTATTCTTTTCGACTTTTGCTCTTACATGGACTATTCCCCAAAATTTGCCTTCTCTCACACTTAAGGTTTGTAATGTGCAAGGCTTGTAATTCCTTCATACGGAAGTTCTTTTTCGCATGTAATGCCATCGTCATCTAAAGCTTTTCTCATGTGTGTTTCTTATAGAATCTTTTCTCTTTCTCTCCCATAGAAAATACACGTGATTATTCTGCAGGGAGAATCAAATAGCCACTGAGCGATAAATGTAGAATAAGTACGGGCAAAAGACGCGTTTATCAACGTTGCAATTAATTACAGGCGTTTCTAAAAATCGGGTTTAGATTAGCCTTTATCCCATGAAACTTATTTCATATCTCTCTCATTAGGAAAAATTCTGTTAACATTTATTATTAACTTAGTTATTAAATAACAATTGTTTATGTTTATTCTTACTTCCTTATGAGAAATAAAATGATAAATAAATAAAAAAAGCTAACAAAGAATAACAAACAATTCTGTAAATTTATCTAAATTAAAATATGCGAGAAGCTGTACGGCTTCACCACAAATTTTCAGATGAAAAAGAAGAAAGACAGAATACTTTGTTCTTGCAGTTCTCACTGTTCATACAACGATTGTCTTTCTCTTTGAATTAATTTTCCAATTCTATTTTCACTTATCCAAAAAATTGTTCATTGAAACTTTTATGTGACATATTAATCGACTATTTTTTCTTTGTACAAGAAATGAAACCTTTTCGAGATATCTAAATCTATGCAAGAAATGAACTTTTAATTCTTTTTTCTTTATATTATTCAATATATGTAAAAGTAATGTGCTTTTATTTATTTCATACTGAAAAAATATTAATGAAAGAATCATTGAAATAATAAAAGTATCACACGACAAATGCTAAGCATAAACCCGGCATCACGCGCATAGTAGGCGGATTGAATAGCAGACGCAGTAATGGAGTACTAATATTTGACTGTGTGGTCAAATAGCAATTGTATTTCCGATGGAATAACTCGCACTGTCGACAATTACCACAATGATACTTCTGCGTGGCTCAAGATATTGTGGTACCCTTTAGTTTTTCAGACCGTGTCGTTGCGACGGAAGAGGACGAAGAGGACGACGAGGGGGAGATCTGCGAAGAGCGAGCTCTCTTCTGCGACGGGTCCTCGTCACTAACGTCGTTAGAGCCGTCCTCGTCTTCTAGCGAGTTTGATGCAGCACGGGCGCGCTTCGTTTCCCTACGTAGCCTCCTGGACTTGACGTCGGACGAGTCGTAGCCCTCGTGATCGGCCTCCTGTTCTTTCAGCGGGTCTGACAATCGCGACGCGGAAAGCTCCTTGTCTTGGACTTTCGTCTCACAGTTGGACTTGGACTGAATCGATGAGATTTTACTGCTGTTATTTCTCGTGTCCAGAGTGAGAATGGCCACGACCTTGGCTGTTCTTTGAGGCTTCTCGTAGGACGATGTCACGCTCGCGGCGTTCTCGTTGTCGCCGCTCGTCGACGGGGTCCGCGCGTGCTTGACGCTCGTTTTGAGCGCGGAAGAGGGCGAAGACAACGGCGACGATGGCGACTTCATCGAGAGGGCGGAATTCAAGAGCAGTCCTGAACGCGTCACCCTGGGCAATTGTTCGTTGTTATGACTGGACGACATGCTGGGTCGGGGTGTGTCCGGACGGCGTTTCGCCGAGACCACGACCATCGCCGGGCCCTCCTTCGAGTCCGGTTTCATCGGCGGTATCGATCTACTACGTCTGAACGGCATCGGAGGACCCAGCAGACCGTTGTCCTGGCACTGCTTCGAGTTTCGGGTCGTATGCTTTTCGACTCGACTAGGCAATACTGCGTCTATTCTTCCAGGAAAGTTCGCGGACCTCCTCGTGATCGGTCGCGGGAAGGGCGTGTCCGGTCGTTGTCTCGGTGTTAATTTCGGTGAATTTGGCGTCGTCGTCGTCATCGTCGTCGTCGTCGTCGTCTCGCCATCGCTAACCGGAGGCGGAAGCGGAGGCGGAGGCGGGGGCGGCGTCCACGAGTGACTTGCCGATCGCGTGATCCTGCTCTGTTCCGCAACCGGATGCTGCGAATTGTCGGTTCTTCGCGCCCCCGTTTTCGCTTGCGAACCATTCTTACTCTCCGACGTTAAATCGATCTTGTCATTTGTCAATCGCGCGTTACCCTCTTCCAAATGATTGACAGTTGAAGGAACTTTTGAGCTACGAGTCGTTACACCTCGCTGAAACGTGCCCTCTACCTTTCGTATTTTGCACTTGGATTCATTTGAATGAAATTCACTTTTCACCAAGGGAATTGAAAAGTCGAGCACGTTCGATGGCGTGTCACTCGTTCCCTTCTCCGCTATTTCCGGCAAAGCGTTTAAATTTTCGTTCCTCGAATTCGGTCTCTGACCAGACTTTTGCGATATCGCCGACTCGGCGTCATTAGCCTCGTCGCAATTGCTCTTATCTTTATCTTCGATCGCGTTGCCACGAGCATCATCGGTTACGTTAGTCTTGGAATTTCTCTGTAAAGAAACACGGGGCATCGCGACCGGTTTTGAGACTGCGTCAGCCACGTCCGGACTTCCGTTTCGCAACGCTTTCGAGCGCAAAAGAGGAACAGAACGACTCGAGGGTAATTCGACACTCCTGTCCGACTCCCTCGGCGTGGCAGCGGCCAATTTCCCTCGCACGTTGTTGCACAAAGAATTGGCTGACGCTCCGAATTCTGACTTGGGCTTGGCCATCGTCTCCTTCGGGCGCTTCAAAGTTGCATCCGACTGCACCGTGCTCGGAGGCGACCGAGAATCCCGCGCACTGACATTCACGTCGAGATTCTCCGCGTCCTCGTTGCGATTTACCTCGGGGTCGAGCTTTCTGTAGGTCGCGGACAACATCTTATGCGAGCACCGCGTCACCTGAACGGAGCAGACGGTGATTAAATTGCTATTCAGGATTTTCTCGTCACTCCTCTCTTTAACATTCTGACCATCCACCGCATCAGAGGTCGATTCCAATGTTCTCGTTTGGTTCGATTGTGTTTTGGCAGCTGGTGTTGTCGAATCTACGTTATCCTCGTTCGCGTCGGAATCAGTAACACGTTGTTCCACTCCGTTCGAATCGATCGTGGACGGAGATGCGAGATCGCGGTCGTCCTCCGAACTTTGATCGACCTCCGTCGCCTCCGTCTTGACGATTTCGGCCTTCGCGGTCTGATCGGAATTGACGGACACCTTGGCGTTCGCGTTAACCCGAACATTTCTCTTACGACACGCGTCTACTGACGACGGCGAGGAGAAGGTTTCCTCGGATTTGGCGCGATGAAATTTCTTGCGCTGCCGGCGCGGAAAATTCGGCTTCAAGCCGGGCAGGATCGGGCTCACGTCCAAAGTCCAGAGATTAATCTGAACGTTACCGCGAGATCTGGTGCGCGGGCTGTTTAGATCGAAATGATTCCGGCTGCTCGAGCCAGAGCCCGCCAAGCGGCCCTTCCGTCTCGAGAAACCTCCCCTCCGTTCGGAATCGTCGCGATTGCTCGCTCTCCCGTCCTCGTTTCCCTCGCCGGCCTCCTCCTCCTCCTCCTCTTCGTCGTCGCCCTCTTCTTTTTCTCCGCCTCCCCCCTCGCCACCCTCCCCTTCCTCCTCCTCACCCTCATCCCCTTGACTCTGACTCTCCGTGTGACTCGATTCCTCGTCAAGACTATCCTCGATCACGTCCTCCTCCTGCGACTCAGAATCCGAGTCCGACTCGGTACTGGTAGTTTCGTTTTCGCTCTCGGACGACAATTCGCGCGCGCGCCTCCTTCTACTATCGCCACGTCTACGCAGACTTCGTCTACTCGGTACTCTCGGTATTAGCCTCTTACTAACTAATCGCCTGGAACCGCCTTTGGCGGCAGTGCTATTAACCTGATTCTGCGCGTCCTCACGGCCAAACGTCAGCGGCTTCTCGTCGTCGTCAGCGAGTCGCATGCGCCGTTCCTCCTCCTCGCGCAGTGCCCGCAAACGGTCCAGCTCCCACTCCTTCTTCTGTTCCTCCAGCTCCCGTTCGGCTGCGGCTAGATGCGCTGCGGAGAACGCACCCTCGGACTCCTCGACGAACCTCATGGCGTACCGTTCAATCGGAGTGAGCTAAATAAAAGATTATAGAACCATCAATCGAGGAATTAACGTTAAAGATTACAAGAGATTACGAAAGATGAATGGTACAATGGACAAAGGAAAACTAAGGCGATGTAATCGGCCCGGCAAACCGACGAGATTTCGAAAAACGTTCAACCTACCTGAGAAATCAGATTCTGAACTTCCTGCTCCGCCTTGCTGACCTGCGCGTCGTCCTTATCAGCTTCTTCCAGCGGAATGTTTTCATCGAACTCGGCAAGATCGGCGACGGCTTCCGCTTTCGCAGTCTTCGCGGCCTGAACATCCAGATCTTCCTCAGCAGCGGCGAGAGCGCTCTCAAGCGCGCCCATCGCTGCCTTCTCCTCCGTATGCTGTCCCGAAAGACTACTCTGAAACGGTCCCGCTGCCACATCCTTACTCCAGGCCTTCTCTCGATCCCGATTCTGGTCGAGCACCTCAGCCATACGCGCCGATGCGTCGTTCTCAGTTTGATCGATGTTAAACAGATCTTGAATGGTGGAACTCTTGAAGTACGCCGTGGTGAAATTACCACCTTCAATAGCAAGGTCCCCTAGCAATCGTTTCTGATTCGCCTTCTTCAGAATGTTCTCCTCGACAGTCTTCTCGCTAACTAATCTGTAGATATGTACATCCCGTGTTTGTCCTATTCTGTGGCATCTGTCCTGCGCTTGGGCATCCATCGTGGGATTCCAATCGCTGTCATAAAATATTACTGTGTCCGCTCCCGTCAGATTCACGCCGACGCCACCGGATCTCGTGGACAGGATAAAACAAAATATTCTCTTATCGCCGTTGAACCTCTCCATTAAAACCTGACGTTGGTCCACCCTGGTGGTGCCGTCCAGTCGCAGGTATATATGTCCGTGGAAATTCAAAAAGGCTTCTAACACGTCCAGCATTCTCGTCATTTGCGTGAATATGAGAACCCGATGGCTCCCGGACTTCAGCTTTCTCAGCAGACGGTCCAGCGACTGCAGTTTGCCGCAATCGTATTGGATCAGTCTGGGATCAGGGAACTGTGTCAGCATGAGGCTCGAAATCGGATGGAACAGGGACAACTTTGGCGACAGTTGTCGCTGCAATTCGGTCCACAGACGATGCTCACCCCACAGCTTGTGCGGCGGTGGATGGGACACATGGAATCGAGGTACTGGCGCGCGTACAGCCGGTACGTAGACTACGTATCTGTACATAAAAAAACAAAGGAAAGCTTTATTAAATATCCAAATCTGAATGGCAAAGGCAGTAGGATTTTATTTTTCGTTTGATGTCAAACAATCGTCACTATGACAGAATACTTTTGAAGCTTAGATATGAAAACATTTAATATTGGAAATTAAGAAAAGACATTCAATTAAGTGTTTTTTAACAAATTCACATTAATCGGAGAACAGAAAATATGTTGAGGATCGATGTAAATTTATTCTATGTGTTGATTGACACTTGTGTCAAATTATGTCAGATATTAACCTTTCGAAAACCTCTTTGAGTTCTTCAACGATCTGCTCTGTACTTTTGATGGCTTCTGCGAGCGCTTCCGTGTGCGAGAAGTACTCTTTCCGCGTACGAATATTCTCTCCAGTTGTCGTGCAATGCATCCAGCTATTGTGCCAACGACAGGCTGTCGCGGGCTTGCCGATTCTCAAAGCCATAAACAGATCTGCACCGTAAAGCGGACACGCCGCGCATCTTCGTTCATTGATGTTCGCCAAGAGATGCAATTTGTCCTGTCTCCTCTGCCTCCTTTCCTCCTCCAATAGTGGCTACAAATCATAAAAATTTTCCGTTAACTACACGAGTGCATCTAACGAAATAATTAACATTTAAATGTAAAATCTGTTAAACTTGAAACTTGTTTCTCTTTTGTCGAAAATGACGAGGAAGAATGAACTAAAGAATCAAGTTGGTTCTAGCAAAGCTGGCTTGAATTCCTCGAGAGTAATTGCATTATCACGTTCCTTATTATCCTTAGAATAAAAATTAAATTATTAATATACGTTTAATTACCAAATGAAACTCGGATTTAGGCTGTTCTTTACTCGGTGCCTTTGTGACCTCCTTCTGAGCCTGTCTGGTGACAATGCCACGTATCGATTGCGGCTGTTGCTGCTGGCTGGCTGTTTGCTGGCCGTTGTTTCCGCTTGGTGACGATTGCGAGGCGGTTACATTTAGAGGAGGTACCCTCATGACGGGCCGGCCGCTTGGGGTTGTTACCACTCCGCTGACGACCTTGTTTACCGTCGTGGCACCCGACGTAGACAGACCCATCAGCGATTTAGAGAGCACCGTAAAACGCGGCCCGCTCGACGTCATGACTGGAAACGAAACTGTCAGTACAGAATGTGTTACTTCTCTTTTTTTCTTAATCCGTTTGTCACTACCAACAAGCTTGCAGAGTTCACGAAAATAATGATAAAACTCGTAAGCAAATTGCAAACAAACCCGTGTTAGTATTCTGTTGACTCGGCGTCAGAATGAAGTGTCTGCCGGTAGAAGTTTGAACGAGTTGCGCGAAACCAGGCACCGCTATTCTCTGGACGGAGTCGCCTTGTTTGACCGTGACGGTCTGCGTCGTCAATCGTTGAATGCCATCTCTGATGCTAGCGTTTCCCACAGTGATCCTTTGCGGGTTCGTCGCTGCTGTGGTTGACGTTACGGTGGTACTTTGCGGATTGTGCCCCAACGTTGCCACAGGAATAGCTGTTTTATGAAAATTTACATTTTATATTTTTATACAGATACGATTTTAATATATTTCATTGTATATATTATTGCTAAATTTGATATCGCTTATACAAAATTATTAGTTTTTTTAATATATATTCTGACGTTAATATATTTATGGTAAGATGCGTATAATACGAATATGAATATTATCCAAATAAATTATGCAATTTATTTAGAAAACAAATACAGTTAAATAGGACCATTACGATATAAATTAAACAAGCGAGAGCGCCTTTAAGTTTGAGCAAAATGTTGGTAGCTCAATAATTGCAATCTAAAGTGTGAATTCATATACAGTTTTTCACCTTGTCCTGCGCATCGGTTTTTTTCGGACATAACACAGTTTCATCTATCATTGTCGTCCGTAAATTCACATATTTAAAATCTATAAACGATTTCTAATGATTTTAAAATGCTATATTTAGCATTCAACTCCCCCCCCCGCTCCCGTACTGTAAAGAATTCACATTTTAGATTGCAATTATTCGGCTTCCAATATCTTGCTCGGACCTAAAAACGCTCTCGTTTGTCATTTAGAAAAATTAATTTTTAAAAAATGTGTCCTTAGTTCTAGAATGCTTATAAACGGTAAGATTATAAACAAGCTGGCCTAAGGAACAATTATTCTTGCATCACTGCAAAAGTAAATTGTCTAGCGAGAAACTCACAGCGACAGTCACCGATTTATGATGCATAATTACATATTAATTTGGTTTATATGAATAATCTTAAAATATAATACGAAATTAAATTAACGATATATTTCGATGTATCGCAAAATTATAGATACGAATTTTGAGAATGTATTATGGATTCAAACATAAAAAATTCATATTAATTCAAAGTTTTTTTTTTTCAAGTCACGTACTGCAATCAAAGATGTGAATTAATTTGTGATTCTTCGCAAATTAATTCATACGACATTTAACAACATATTCTACACGGAAAATTAAACAAGAAGTATAAAGTAAGAAAATCCATATAGTTTTTCAAGTGAAAGTAAAAAGATTTTTGATAAAAAAACAAACGAGTATCTATAATCAGTATTTGTAATATTTTTTATTAATTTGTAACATACAAATTAAGTGAGTTAAAAGAAACAAAAAAAGCACAAGTTGCTTACCTTTTACGCCAGCCTGATGTGGCACCAGTTGCAGGGAATAACCTTGCAATTGTTGACCACCCGCAACTCTCAGTGTAACACCTAAGAACAATAGTTACGTGTTTGATTAATAATATAGAGGAAAGTCCCCTATTATGAGATAAACTCCTAATAAATGAGATAGTGGAGTTTCTGCTAAATTAATAGGTTATCTGTTGATTCCGCCATGAATTTATTACCCTTGTAGTGAAATCTGTTTAGTGGAAAATTGATTGTTAGATCGTGTGATCGTTGCGGAAAAAGTTCCCAAAAAAAGTGGATTTGTGAGTGAATTTGAACGTTGAAAACCTACTATCATATATTAGAATCCTATCTCACAATAGAGAACTTTCCTCTACATACATTAATTTTAAAAATGTATCACTGAAAAAAAGGAAAAAAAACGAACTTACTAGTTGAAAGTTTATTTAATATATCGGATGCATCAATGACCTAATGTCTACACACATTGATATTTTCAATAATTCAATAGATTGAACAATTGTTTTGGTTCTTTGTCAATATAAAATAGGTAAACAATTATGTAAATGTGTGAAGACACTTCTAACATTATAAAGAAATTTAATTAAATATAAATCAAAGTGTGCTAACGTCAATGCATCCAATTTGTTCTCTTTTCATTAATTAAATAAAATATCCATATAAATGGATTTCTCCTTCTTTGAAAATTAATAAGAATTAATAGTTTCTAGATATAAAATTACGATTTGTATCACATTGCCTGCGTTATTTTAAATATTTCTTTAAACACCCATTGCAATACACTCGCGAACATCAGCCTGTCTTTTAACTTTTGGTAACAAACAAAAACAAAATAATTCCACGAGTGTTTGTTAAGTGGAACATAGAGATTATATACGTATATACATAATCCTGTTAAAATGCTTCCCTCGTAGCCCGGGATAAGGTTTTCACATGCTTCTTCACAATGAATCTCGCCTATTCGTGCGCGTTAAACCTTTCATGACCAATATTTCATTTCGCTTATTTCCTTTTTTCAGTATCAGAAATTTGTTACTGACAATATGATCTCAAATAAACAGAAGAATAGGATCCCACATTCTTCTTACATAATTCACAATTTATAAATAAAGTCTATCCTTGTGTTCCGATATTCACTGCCAGTACTGAAACTCTAGTTTACGTTACGTTTACTATAGATTTTCAGTACTGGCAGTAATATCGGAACACAGACTATGTCAGTGCATTTATTATTTTCTACAACAACGACATGTACATATAAATATCTACATACGGAATCAATACATATATTTTACTTTTTTATAATAGTGGTACAATTATTTTATTTTTTGAACTTGTTAGTCTGTATCTGCATTTATTTTGAGACAAAAATATGTAATTTTGCCACTAATGATATACATTGGTCATGAAAATGTTAACGACTAACGCGATAAAATATGGTAGCCTGGACCTACCTTGTCCCGGACCACTCTGGCTGGTATTTAATGACTTTATCAAGGGGGACGTACCCACTCTTGGCGTGGGTAGGACGCCAGCCAGATTCTTCAGCCTGGTCTGCGTTTGCTGTTGTTGCTGTTGCGGCTTCGCCTGATTCGATAATCTAACGTTGATTTTGATCCGGCCGGATGGACACCTTGGCGCCGGTTCTGGTTGGCTATCTATCTCCTCGATAAGCTTTCTAGGCGTCCGCAGACGATTCACCCTGTGCGCGACGAATGCACTGAGCGTTGTCTCCAGGTTTAACAGCAAAAGGTTCAGGCTGGACAGTTGGATGTGCTGCAAAGTCAAAGAAATCACAGGTTTCAGATATCGGTTGGCCACTTTGGTTTTCAGTATATAGATGACATCATAAACGCCGTGAACACGGTATCTGTAGTTTTACCTTAAAGGGATCGTAATCCAGCGCAGTCCAGACTAACGACGCGGTCACAAACTCAATTGCTTCCATTTGAAATGGCGAAACAGTTGGTCGCACTTCAAACAAGTTCGGATGATTACACACCTTACGTAGTTGCATTAATACGTTAATCACACTCAACAGATTTCCACTGGCAAGCGTTTCCTTTGTTCTTTAACAATACGAGACAAACGTTAAATAGTATTAAATACAGTTTACCAGTTAATATTAAAAAGATAAGAGACTACTGTGTTCGAATAAGTAAAAAAAACTCTGAATTTCTAATATAGCGTTAAAGAGTTCACTTACTTGGCCCTTGACATAAAGTCATCGTACAGAAATCTTTGACGCTTCGACAAACGGCACATGACCACGTGCTCATATTTCTTCGGTAATTGCTTTTCTACTTCAGTTTTCAATCGTCTCAAGAGAAATGGCCGCAACACCTACGGAGAGTGTCATTTATTAAATATTAAATATACCCAATAAAGTAAATAAACTTTTATGTATGCGTATGTGGTACATCTAAGCTACTAATACATTCCTTCTTAATAATTTTATAAATTAGATAAAGAAGAGAAAAAAAAATGAGGGATGGTAAAGAAAACTACGTACAGACCTTATGCAGACGACGGATTATGTTTTCGTTGTATTCGCTGTTCCCTTCGATCATGCCTGTGACAGGATTGCTGAACCACTCTTTAAATTCGCGGTGAGACTGAAAGACGTTAGGCATAAGAAAGTGCATGAGAGACCATAGTTCCATTAAATTGTTTTGAAGGGGTGTGCCGGTAAGAAGTAATCTCCTGCGAACAGATGAACCGTAAAGATGTAACGATGTTTCAGTGTGAAGTAATTTCCTCCAATTTCAATTGAAGCGATGGAACACAATCAATACAACAGTCTAGACTTATCTCTTATGAACTTTATAAAAATTAATATAAATTTTTTATGGTTTAAGATTCAAGAATCTCTCGAGGAACTTCACGTAATAAAGTAAGTGTAGTTTAAGTTTTATTTAATAATATATAACATTGTGTTAAAGCGTTGAATCACACTGTCGTATTTAATGTAACTCCAAATATGCAACAATGTCGTAATAGATTAATTACCTCTGTGTCTGAAAGTTTAAAAGCAACTGCCATCTTTGCGATTTAAAATTCTTGATATTCTGCGCCTCGTCCAAGATAAGATATTTCCATTTTTTCCGTCTAAAGCTTTGGTGATCTTGTATTACTAATTTGTAGGACGTAATGCATATATGGAAGGCGTTTGGTTTTGTCCAGCCTACAAATAGAGAAAAGAATGTTACAATTGGAGAATTACATAAGATTATCATTAATAAAATAATAAATTGATTGTTTCTCCAGACAGGATTCGTATGTCAGACAACGATCGATTTTTGACACGCGAGTTTTAATGGAGAATTTTGCTATTTCGCTGTATGCTCAACAGACATCGTCATTTCAAACAAACATCCGCTATCGGCAGCGAGTAAGATTACAAAAAATATACAATAAAAACAGACTTTTATATAAAATATATTTTAGAAAATTGTTATTTATATCATTATTTAAATATATAAAAGCTTAATTAGATAGTTTGATCGTAGTTTAAAATAAAAAAAAAATAAAAAAAATCCCGTATGTTTCAAAAAGTTGCATGCAAGTTACCGGTTCTCTTTTGTTTCCTTTCCTTCTGTGTGCCGTAGTACGTCAGTATTTTGAATCCGGGACACCATTTTTTGCATTCCATTTCCCAATTGAGCATGACAGACGTCGGTACAATTATAAGATGCGGTCCCCAGTTTCCCTTCTCGCAGGCTAGATGCGCCAACAATGCGATAGTTTGTATAGTTTTACCTAGACCCATCTCGTCAGCTAAAATGCCGTTTAACTTTCTCTCGTACATCGTGACAAGCCAATCCAATCCTATGTGCTGGTATTCGCGAAGAGAGTGTTTCAGAAGAAAAGGTATTTTAGTGACAACCTAAAAATAAACACAATGTTAATAAATACAGAAAAGGGAATACAGACATAGAAACTATTTTAATCTGTCTAATCTAGAAGTTAAAAAGCTGCAACTATTTATCGAAAAACGGCAGAAGCAAAGTTGTACACCGAATATGAATCTTGTAATTATTTTGTAGTGATTATTTTCGAGAATAAAATATATATATGTTTATTCAAAGAAAAACTATCACAGTTAATTTTCCTTTCGTAAATAATGATGAGCAAAATTGTTACTTCATCACTTTGGATTGAAAGGCTTATTTACCGAATATTAAAATTTCTTGACACCTGAAGGAATTAATAATTATAACGAAGAAGCAAAAACTTGCAAATATGAATTTTCAATAAGAAAGCATTACTTAATTTTAAAAAAGCACCTGTTTCTATGTTTTTCTATACAAATGCACATATACTTACTGTATAAGATTCAATAAGAAAAAACAAAACATAAACAAGTACACTTACACTAGTAGTGAGCAATGTATTTCCCTTAGGCTGGATGCTTTCGGCCAATGCAGCAACGTTATCCATTTCATTATGAGCGTCCGAATGAACGTCTTCCGCAGTCTGTAACAAAGAATTACGTGTCTTTTTACAATTGGTATGGCAATGAAAGAGATTAGGAACAAAAAATAATTCAATCAGATATTAAAATAGAAAAATTATTAACTGTAACAATGATTGGGGAAACTAAATGTTTATAACCAAATTTAATTTAAAATAAATAATCTCTATTATATTTGTTACAAAATAAAAACTCACTCTACTATCAGATTGTTTTTCTGCAGAGGGATCTTCGAGAAGAGATTGAAGTCCCACATCCGCCTCGGTATCGCTCCGAGTCCGAGTCTCCTCCTCGTCGCTATCGTGATCGCTCTCTTCGCTCTCATTCTCGCTGCTGGTTATTTGATCTTCGATCTCTTGTGCCGCTTCCTTGTCACTGCTTTCCTTATCTGTACCTAAACAACCGAAATGACAATTAAATCAACTTGTTCTTCTATTCTTTCAATAGTAAAATATAATCTTCCGAAATTTTGTCAGACAAATGCCTCGGTTCACAGCACGAATAGTAAGAGATAATGAAAACCAAATATCTCATACTGTCAGTTGATGGTAGTAGTATCATCATTGTAATTTATCCAAAAATTTCCAAATAATAAAAACTTATACACAAGGGTGTTCATATAATACAAATTTTTATGTAATACAAGAATAAAAACTTTCTGTCCCTAGTAAATGATTGCCAAGTTGAAAAAATTATTAAACGATTCAACTAGCAGATAGTTTATTAAATTAATCCAACCGTCCGGATTATAGCTCTTTCTTTTCAAGCCATAATTTTATTATAATCAGGATAATAAAAGTTAAAAATTCACATTTATAAATTTGTTTTTCTTAAGTCGCTCGTAATAAAAAAAATATTGATTTGTAGATATCTTTGTATACTAAAACGACATTCAAATAGCGTACAGATTAGAAAAAGATCTTGACCTATTTATTTTATATAGAAATAATATATTATAAAAAAATTTGTTCAAAGTTCTATTAAAAGACTTACCTTCAACCTCTTCGTCCACGTCAATCAACATGTCCGACATATTTGCATATTTGGCCGCAAGTTCGTCGATAGACATTTCATTATCAGCCTAAATAAACACAGCATATTTTTACTTAAGTTTGACAAGAACGATTTATGATAACGCCTGCTAAGTTTTGAAAATGGCCAATTATGTACCTTAAGTTCATCGAGCTCTCGTTTGTGATCGATTTCTCCCTCAAGCCTTTCCTCTTCCATAATAGTATCTTCTTCATCTGAGGATTCACCAGACGCCGCAACAAAGTCCGCATCTGCATCAACCGCTTCATTTTTCTATAACAAAAATCATAATCTCATTTTAACTTTTAATAAGCTTTTAATCAATTTAAATCTTTAAGTAGGCGGCAAGTTAATAGTATAGTTCCTAAATATTGGAATTCACTAATTTCAAAAATAATCTCAATACTTTTACCAATTTATATTATAAATATTATACACGAATAGATAGCATATAGATACTTAAACATTTTATTAAAAAGAAAACATACATTTCTTTCCCCTTCGTTCGTAGCATTTTGCGGCGATAGACTTCTGTTGCGATCTTCCAAATAGTCTGGCGGTAAATCCTTTAGGAGATCTTCCAAAGGTATTTCCGATTCTCTTTTTAACAACTCCACTTCCTCCTTGTGGTTGGTCGTTAATTTCATTTCCTCTTCGGCCTTAGCTATGGTCTCCTCGTCATCATCTGAACTCTGATTTGGCTGGAATTCCTCTGTAATAGAACATTACACGATAAAATTAAATTTACAAACATGGTGGTAAACTCAAATTTATTATTTTATGCAATATCTAATGCACAAGATTTAATTTAATCAATCAGTATTTAAGTCCAAAGTATTTATGCAATGAAGAAAGCTTAGAAATTCTGTTTAAACTGTGTAAAACACGTTTGTCATAAATTACAATTGAAGTCATTGTATTAAAAATGACAAAGTTATGTATTACATAATTGTCAAATGTAACAATTTTGTAATATTTAAAAGATATTTAAATTGTGTCACGTACAATTTTGCATTTTCAACACTGAAGTGAATAAACATGTTAATAATGTCATTAATTAATGCATTTTATTAATTACATTTATCAATGCATTTATTATCAAAAGTAAAAATTAATTACATTTTTAATAAACGTACCATCGGAATGACATTTTCCCATTGGAACTGGTGAGGAGATACGTGAACTATTAATGGAAGCTGGAATACTCTGCGGACCCTCGGTCTTGTTGAGACCCTCTGTCAGCCACGTGGAATATTTCTCCGTTTGCCCAACAATAAAATTTAAATGTTGATCCAACGCCTTCTTCCGTTTTTCTTCCAGCCTCGTTTGCTGTTTGTACTCCACCAGCTATTGACAAATTGCAATTACAAAAATTATAATAACGTGATATCAATGTATTGTTTGCGCCTACAGTTTTGTATATCTTTATTATAATAATTCTATCAATATTTATCTCGTGTAAATAAATTGGTCTTTAAAATGTACAAATATGTAGTAATGTTTAAATATTGTTACTAATTATTGATAAGAAATGTATATATTTACATCCAAATACATTTTGCATTTACGCCATTGACATACGAATATAATGTGATACAAATGTCCTGCGCTAATACTTTGGTTGAATTTAGAAGAAAACGAAACAACCATACACAATGCGCAGACTTTGCTGTTCCCACAACGAGCACACGCTTCTGATAAAGATACATCAAGAAGGTCGGCTTAATTAGTGTGGGGAGAGATAAAGTTAAATTAACATAGCTCCCATAAAGTAATATTATTTAAAAAAAAAACAAGTTTTTTCAAATTAAATTATGAAAAGATTGTTTGCTCGATTCATCCAAACTTGTAAATGTCTATTTTAGCTTCTTGCTTACTTTCTCGACATTTGTCCAGAAGGTTTTGATCTCCTTAGCGACCAAGCTGGCGATCTTCTTCAGCCGCAGCTCCTGCGATTTCTCGGCCTTCTGCGCCTGAATTGCCTTTTCCTGAAAGTACTTCTGCACCATTCGCGCGCATTTCTTCGCGGCCGCCTTCTTCCATTTACGCTCTTGGGCGAAGTCAGCGGCCAACCAGACCATTTCCTCCAGCAGGTAATCCCAATGGGCCTTGGTTCGGGTCGGTTCCTGCACCTTGGGCAATCGCCGTTCCGACCATAATCCCTCGCGTTGTAGCTCCGCAATCCTCTGCATTACGTACGCCTCCTGTATCCCGATAATAGCAGCCATTAGCATAAAACTTAAATATACGAACGATACCCTTAATCTTTTCAAAGAGAAAACATACAATGTGTGTATTAAAAATGTTATATTAAGTTATTATATTATTACAGCATAATTTAATAAACTAAAATGTGTATTGCACAAACTTAATAAAAATAGAAGAAAAAAATTTATTAAAATATCTCTAGAAAATTATATGCAGCCGATACGAGCTTACGAGTGCATTTAATGAGGTACACGTAAATTCTGTCCTTCGCATCGCAAAAAGTGATATCGAAAGAATCGGCCACGGTACTCACCTGCTTAGCTTTTTCCACAATTTGCTCCTGATTGTTCGTGTTATCACAGGAAGTAGTTATAGTAGTGGGTGTAGACAACTTAACGAGCTTAACGATAGGTTGGGGATTATTGAGCGCAACTGCTATAGGCGTTTTCGGGGTGGCGACGGTGGTGATCGACGGCGACGACTTTTCCACCGCCGGACTTGCGGTCGTGGTTGTCGATTTTGACGAGTCCGCAACCATCGACGGTCCACCTGAAACGACAACCACCGCTTTAAGATCGCTACAATAATAAATCACGTGAATTATAATACATAAATCATAAGATACGTAAATCGAAGAGCTGGACGACAGCGGCGTATGCTAATTCAAAGATACTTCTGCGCTGAGTTAACAAAAGTAGGCAAGTGTTGTATACTTCACGCAAATAACAATATATAGACGAATGATAAAATGAGTTTGGACGGCGCAATTTCCACAGGACAGGCAAGAGAAACGGAACGATACACATCCACACGGTTGACAACTAAACGCGAGAAACGAAAACACTTTCAAACACGCCAATTAAAATAAATCGCTTCCACTTGTATCTGAGAAGATATAACGTGTACATACACATACATGATGTAGCGAGAGACATACATTATTCTTACCAAGCTTCAAATAAAAACATGCGTTTGCACTTAATAATCGTCAGGTCAATTATCACCACAGTATCATTGTAGATTTATACACGTAACATGCTACACTTGTCTGACTCATTCTAGAGAGCTGGCATACAGAGAACGTACAGTGATTACAGCGTGAGAAAATTACAAGTTACACGGTACTCAAGGCGACAGTACAAATTTCTACAAAAACTTTGATAGCAGCTCTAGTGGCAGCAGACAGTTCTTTGGCCAGCGTCTTCTGATCATCGTTCCAATAGTTCAAGTCGAAAGTACAACATACATATGTACAACACGGAAGTACCATGATGCGCGAAAATAATCGTCTGTGGTGAAAACTTGTACAGCCTCTAACTGCTCGGAAGCGAGAAACCAATACGGCTTAAAGACACGAAGAAACGAACGGCAGGCGATCTGCGGTAATCACCTATAATGAGCGTGGGTGCTACGGTAGAAGCGGATGGAGGATGAACGGTGGCCGACGAAGACTGGATTGCCGCTCGGAAGGCAAACACCATGCCATGGCGACCGCCTTGAGGCCTACCTGGTACTTGTCCTAAGTGCGCAAATGCTCATTTATTCGGTGTACAAGCCGAATTTCAATTTATGACAATTAAAATATAACGCAAATGAGGAAAACCGCCTAACGCGAACAATAGACGATAATTATACGAACAATAGACGATAATAATCCTGAATTATATGAGAATCCCAATGCGAGGCTCTAACGTTTTTTCTCGTTGTTCTTTTTTGCCGATTGATGCACAACAGATAACATAGATATTAATAAAATTAATGAGAACTCGAGATGATTGTCGTTATTTACAAAGAATGCATATTTAAATAGAACATTAATATATAAATAAAATGATCATGAGAATCCAATTGTTGATTACAAAGGATGCGTATTAAAATAAATTTGGACACATGGAATACACTGATTAAACTATATCTGCAAATTGCCGTTTCTTTTCACAATTATGAAAAATATAATTTTGCAAAATTCCTTTACGTATCCTGACATACACGAGTTGCGATACGCAGGAAAAGGAGCGATCTATCTTGACGAGTGACGAAAAGATTATTATTTTCGCTTATAATATCATGATCCAATATGGTTGCAGCAATATTCAGTCGATTTTCTCTATTCTGAGAACTCGCATTCCAGGCCTTTGTCCCATACAAGTTTTCCTTTACGCGGGAGCGAGAAAGTGAGTGGAAGTCGGAGCGTACGTCCTTATCTCACGCAACTTGGAAGAGATTAAAGAAAAATGTAAAAAAGAATGTATGATAAAAAAACATTTCTCGGCCCATCTTAGAATAGAGGAAGGCGACTGCGCATTCGAATGAACACTTAAAACTGAGAATACACCGAACAGAAAACACGACATAAATTTTCTATCAAAATTCAAGGAATATGTGATGCTGACGGGACATTCACCGGAGCTCGATTAGAGACTGGGTCAGCTTCCCCCGGAAAGGATAACATACGACATTCACACACGATTTTAACGATACACAGTCTTTTCCGTTCAAATTAATACGAGAGAGTGAAGGTATTCGATAAAACAGGACCCTCGTTGCTCCAAGTAACGGCAAGGAAGTGGATCCTCTTGCTACCGCGATCATCGAGCTATAATTACCTTGATGACTAAGCTGGGCTAAAGCCGCAGCAGGCAGGGTGGTAGACACCGCCACCGGCGTGACGCCCGCCCCGGCGATTTTTATCTCCGTCCTTTGATTCGGGACGTGGACCACCGTGGAGCTGGACGTGGCGGTCGTGACGGCGGCGGTGGTGGTGGCGGTGGCGGTGACGATGGTGCTGGTGACGGTCGTGGTAGTGGTGACACTAGTGGCGACCGTGGACAGCTGCGAGAACTCGGACAACGGCGCGGTGAGATCCTCGTCATCGTCGTCCGGATCGAGCCGATGCTGGCGCATGAAGTGCACGAGTTGCGGCGTCGGTGCCCGCCTCCGCCAGGTAGGGTAGTCCATCATGTTGCCGCCCATGTGCAGGAAGAATAGCTCCGACACGTTGTCGCTATACTTCTCGCGAACGTTCTTCATCCGCCGCATTTTGTACTCCATTATTCGCCTGCAGAAGCTGGCGTCGAATGGAATCGGCTTCTCCGTCGTCTCCGACAGCTTCAGCCGTTTCCTCGCCGGCGGCGAGGGCGATTGCACCTGCACCTGCGGCGACGACATCTGTGGCGATGTCGACGACGACGACGGCGATATGAACACGTTGCTCAGGGAGGTGCGCACCAGCTTCGGCGACGTTGTCAGCATGAGCTTGGTGGAGTTCTGCGGCCGCGACACCACCGGCGACGAGTGGGGCGACGCGCCGGCGATGCCGACACCCCCGACGGCGTTGCGCGGTGGCGTGCCCGCGATGTTGACGATCCTTGTAACGCCGACTTGTTGCGTTCCGCTCGCGTTAGTCGTGGCATTGTTCGGTATGACCTGCGAGCAAAGACAACGTGAGTGCTAATCGTGAAGGGGATTTTACTATTAGAGTCACGCCAGGTGCAAATCGCTCGTCACGGCGTTGGAATGGCGAAAAAAAAATCAATGAATAATCCGCGACAGTCGGCGGTGAACAGAGATTCAAATAACTCTCTCGGTAATTGTTACCGAGTGCGATTATGGGCCAATTAAATTAACGATCGGCCAACACAGTTACCGAACAAGCGTTATTGACGAGCGACGAACAATGGGGAATAATAGAGATTCAAGTGCTTGACGAATTAAATTATTAATCACTAATGGATATACTTTAGCTGGGTGAAATTTCGTATTTTATGAAAGAAATAGTCTTCCTTCGCTATTTCAAAGAATGCAGCCATACCCGTTTCGTGAAACAGGCTGCTTTCCCTCTAGAGGACACAAATCGACACACGCTCCAGCGCAGTAAAACGGGAATGAATACAAAGGCGAAGGTTCCGAGAGAAAAATTCTATCGAAATACCGGGATGCGTTCTTCTGCCGAAAGCACGTACTTCTCCTCCCGGGGGGAGAGAGAGTGGACCGAGCGGGAATCGAATTCTAAATGAAAAGTGACGTGCGCTGATTTGCGTCCGGTGTCGGCTGTGTTCCCTGGAAGGAGAGCAGCCGCGATGTGGAGACTCCGGCAACCCGCGGCAAGCGTGGACACACCTGTGTGAGACCAGGAACCTGGGTCGTGAGAACGAACTGCTGCCCGCCGGTGGCGAGCACGTTGAGGCCTTGAGCGGTAGCGAGAACCTGCTGCAGACTGACAGTCTGTTGAGCTGAACTTCCGTTATTTCCGCCATTATTAGCCGCACCCCGATTAAGGGGTGGTAAAAGAGGTGCACCCTGTTTATCACTCATTGCACGTTACGCTGAAAGAACAAAGCAGCTCTGTGTTACACGAAAGGAAATCTGTTCCCCCACCTGCGAGCGCGAACTCTTCCAAGGAATCCTCCTTTTAAACGACGAAAAATTAATTCACTCCGACGTTAGCTTTCATATCTTATTATTCTTACAAATATTCCAATACTTGCAAATTGCCGTTCTAATTCCTAAATGCTGATGGTACGCCGCCGGTACAAAATTCCTGCTGTACGCAAATTTTTCAGGGTACGTTCCTGCAATTTAGAGTTTAAAACTGAAAAGGCCCTCGCCGAGTGAACTAAATTATGTCTGCTTCGACAAATGCGGATTGAATTTGCAGCTTTCTCTAGCGTTGAAAATTAGAAAGAGATAAAAGGTACAATTTAAACCGGGATCAAAGTTAATCTGCAGAAGTGGACATTAGTAAGATAAAAAAAGAAAGAAAAACAAGCTAAATGCTAATGACCGGGAGAAACTTGTAGAGTGTAGCAAATAAACATGCTACGAAAAAAAACTGAAAATTTATGTGCATCACTGAATTGGCACTCGCAGTTCAGCAAACTTTACTACCTTAAATAATACACAAAATAAATTGGCAAAGAAAACAACGAAAATCAATGTAGAAATTCCTAGTGTTTCGACAGGCGAATTCACAGCTCGATATCAGCTCAAATTCGAGAATTCACAGGCACCTGCGAGGCGGCCGGCACGACTCGATTGCGAATCACCGGTGAGAGCAACGGGGGGGGG